ATATATATATATATATATATATATATATATATATATATATATATATATATATATATATATATATATATATAAATATATATATATATATATATGCGCGTGTGTGATAGCAATAATACTTACATGAACTGTATGGTAGCTGGTAGGGTATATACATGTACATATATACATATGTCTTTACATGCACATACATACAAATATATACATGCACATATATACATATGCTTATACATGCACATGCATACATATGCATTTACATGCACATACATACACATGTATTTATATATTACTACGTATCTAACATCTGCTCCAATACATCCGCATTCGGTTCTGCATGTACACATCCGGTATTCCGTACCTTCTTTGGTGAAGATATCATTAGTAAGACACGCCATGTTGTACTTCTCTCCCAGCGCGCGGCACAGAGCCAGCAACAGGGCTGTCTTGCCACTACCCACAGGGCCACCCACTCCAACGGTGAAGGACCGGTCCGAAAAATCGCCTCGTCTGGTAGGGAAATGGGTAATGAAACTCAGACTTTAGCGTACACAAGTGCACTTAATCTCTAGAAAGGGGTATATGTGCACATCTCTAAAAAGGGGTCTATGTGCACCTAATCTCTAGCAAGAGTTTTATGTGCACCTGATCTCTAGAAAGGGTTCTATGTACAACTAAGGGGTCGGCGTGCACCTCATTTCAAGGCAGGGGGTCGACGTGCACGAATTCTCACGAAAGGGGCCGAGCGTACAAACGCAAGCAATTGCCGATAATTACAAACCACATGGGTGATGAACCTCAACTACTGTCCCGAACATATACAATTGCATACATAGTCACAAATATATACAATTGCATACATATATGAAGACAGGGGAAAGTTTTCATTTTTACCATACCCTAAAGGTTGGTCCCGGTCAGAATAAAGCCCAGGGTTCTCCATGATGTCATGAGTGTGTCCGTGGTCTCCTCCCGCTTGTGCGTGATCGTGCACGTGCGCATGAGCGTTGCTGGCATTGCCGAGCTGGACTGTGAGGGTCAACATGGCATGATCAATTAACGTGCAGATGCGTGAGTGGATAGTGATACTACATTAACACGTTTGTGTTATTTATCCATCGTACAAGCAGTGTTTTAGAGACATGCCCAATGGCTTGTGACTATATCTATATATATATCTATATCTTATCTTATCTATATCTAAATACATATAT